CACTATAGCCTGTGTGGCACCATTTAGCCTGAGTGGCATCGTTTACCCTTAGTGTCCGGTGAATATTTTCTCCTGAACTTGGAAGTAGCCTTGGTGGCTTTTGAAGTAATTTTGGTGCCCTTACCGGTAATTACATGTGTTGTAACCATGGAATATTTTTGTTGAAGCTAATTGACTTGATCTACTACTGTAAATCTATTGTCTTGTGATTGCACTCCAAAGCATAATGTTTGGTGTTATTGGCGTCTAATGTAGTTCTTTAAATTAAACCGTACAACAATTCTGTGACGTTATTTTTTATGAATATCCTCATTTGAGGAACTGTACAAAACTATGAGAGGCTGAACCTCGAGACTGTAAATAGGTAATAAATTATTTTATTAAGATAAATTTGTGTGTTTGGCTTTGCACTGATTTAGTCCTCACACCCATGTGACAACAGTTCCAGTCATTGCCTATGTGATAGAGCACTGAGTGCTGCCATTGCATTTCAAATACATCTCTTCATTTGTGCAAAGCCTAGCTGTTGACACTGACTGTCTCATTGTGTTCTGGGGATAATATTTTTGCTACTTGTCTGTTCAAGACCACTTACGTTTGGCAGTTGGTCTCCACACTGAATATACACCTGAGGAGGCTGTCCAATGTCAACAGGCTCATGTTACTGAACATCTCCATTGAAGTCTTCTTACCACCACAGGCTACCTTCCACTTCTCCTGTGTCCATTAACGCCAAAGGGTAAAAAAGATAAAATGTAGTCAAGAAGAGGCCAGGTTGATACAAAGTGGTTGAATATAGTGCCAACCACAGGCCTGTTCGATACCCATTGTTTCCGAAATCGATATATTGTGAAAAAAACATTGCGATATTTAATATTATTATGATGACTTATTGTTTTTTGGGGGGGAGGGGAGAAGCCACTGTTGCGTCACAAGGTCTGCGTTAAATAAAGTCCGACCACACAGTTTTTATCTTCTATGGCGCCTATCCCCGAAGCATGTACTGGCCTAAATGTTACTTTTCATCAGGTAAACCTAACTTGAATTCATTTCTGATTTATTTGTCAATACTTCTGGACCCAGAGGTAAATTAATTGAACATTTTTAATGAGCAAAAACGGTTAATCATTGTGTACTTTGAAGTATCTTTCACATGAAAAAATAAAAATGAACTTTCGGTATGGTCCACTGTGCCATCTCCATCGCTGGTTGCTGTCGAAAGTATTTACATGTACATCCACGATGAGTTGGATGGAACAAAACCAAGGAAGTGGAGTTCAGCTGCAAAGTAAACTACACGCAAGTACACCTGCATGCCCCTCAAATGTGCCCATGGAATTCTTAAACACAATTGGCTGTCTAAAACGAATGGGCAGTACAAGCATGGAGCAGCAAGAGGTAACTATCAAGTGGCACATTAACAGGAGCTGTCTTGCGGATGATCTAAGCGACGTAAAATCAGCCCAGAATTGCCTTACTTCAGTGGAATTAAGGAGACCATGTTATTTTTATTTATTTTATCATTACAAACATACAGACCACTGTCGCTCCAAGCAGCTTTCTTTTTTCCATGTGGTACCGTGGAACCGAATGCACTTGGCCACACCCACTATTCTACATAAATTAGGTTATGACTATATGTGCAAAAAGTCATATTTTCCCAAAATTCATATCAATGTTACTTTGTTTAGAGTTTACTGGTGTTTGAATTTTTGGAAGTAATGTTTGTCAAACTGCCTACCATGCCTACAGTGTTTTTGTTAGTGATAAAGGCATGAATTGGGTGACAAATATGACACTTCTGGATACTAAACAATACGAGAACACTGTGATTAAGCCTTCACAAAGTCCAAATAAATGATGTCTTTCATATCATTGCCTGACATCGTCACATGTACTGAGACAGCTTGAATCCTGGGCTGATGGTTGCCTTGAGTGTGCACTTGTGGCACTTATCAGCAACTCGGCGCCCAGAAGTAAATAGGCAAGCTTTTTTTAAGTATTGAATTTCTTGATATTTTAATTTAAGAAAAAATGCCAAATTCGATATGCAAAAAATATCGTGGTTTCGATAATTATCATGATATAGAACGGGCCCAGCCAACTCACCACAAGTATGTTGCCAGACTGTTGAAAGATGTCCAAGTATGGCTTCAAAATGTCAAAGTGGAAGCCGGGTGTCAGTAAGCGTCTGTTCCTTGCCCATTTCTTCCCAGCTGATAAGAGCAGCCCGTCTCCAATCCAGGGACGTATATAAGAGTATAAGTTTTCTGCCTTTGGTTCTAAGATAAATAGAAAAGATAATGATCACAAAATTTAAAAAAATTATTAAAAAAATAAAAACATATGCAGAAATGTCCAAATTTACAAATCAGAGACATAAGAAATAAGGCCCATGACTCCACGACTTTAAATTTCACCTATTCTATAAATGGCATGGGCAATTTACTATTTTTTAACACACGTTTAAGGAAGGTTCATACTTGGCACTGACGCAAACATGGAGATGTCCCATCCAACATGTATCCTGTGAATCAACCGACTCAAACACATTTCAACTCCAGCAAATTATGGTTCATGGTGTCGCATTTGCTCACATTCCCTTGAAGTGTGAATCTGCCTTTGGGCGAAAATGACGACTGAAAGAAACCCCTTGTTGCATCATTAACCCTAACCCCCCAATAGTTGCTGGCCCTAACCTTCCCCATTCACACCCGTATGGGACTTTGAGCACAGAGGCTGTTGGACTTTATTTTTCTGAGGTTTGCCAAACCCAATGCAAAAGCCAGCTGTTATGGGCCTACCAGACATATCCCCACAGAATGAAACACTTTACTACTGTTTAATTGTGGTTGGGGAAGGTTAGGGTTAAGCGAAAAATGGTTAACTGATGCATCAACCGCACGTACGAAGTACGTCACACGATTTTCAGTTTGCTGTGCCCTGAAACTACAGGTATTCATTGTATCGTGGTGCATCTGATGAAAAAGACACTGCAACCTTACCTCCTGTGCTGAGGACAGCTTTGACTGTGTCTGGGTGGTGCAGGATAACGATTGGGAGAAACGGTCCCGCCCATACCACGGAGGCGGTAATACATTTCTCCACAACCTTTCTTCCCCACTCGACTTCCTTCTCATCAAAAGTAACCTATGTGTAACAAATAACAATTTACAAAGCACACATGTAACAAACAACACTTTTTGGTTAGATGGCATTATACATGTACGTGCCTACTTTGCGACTTTTGGACTCTGTTGTGGATGGAATATACATGTAAGTGGTCACTCAGAGTAAATGAAATTGAATCATTGAAACATTGATAATATTCGTTGTGGCTCTTTGGTTTAAGCAAGTTTCACAGCAACTAGAAGTTAGTCAGCATAGCTCTCCAAAAAACAAGAAAAGTAAAATAAAAACTGATCATTTTGTGAGAGAGTAAATATTTTCCTGGCACCACATTTATCCTATGTACATGTAATTAGCAAAAAATGAAACATACCAAAAATGTTCAGTATAATTAAGTCTGAATATCACACCTGTTCATATTTTGTGTCCATGCTTGCTAAGCAAAGAACTACTGGTACATAATTCTAACAAGACTATTTGATGGACAAACCCATTAAAATTGTAGCCACAACACAGAATTCTATCAAAAGTCACCTGTAATGATCAATGTGATCATGTACACATTATGAATGACATACACATACGCCAACGCTGCTGATAATACCTTGTGAAGATTACCCAGTAGCCAGTGCTTGTCGGGGGCTGTCGGAAATGCTGCCAACTTTTTCTCCAGCTTCCATTTCTGGATAAAAAGGACCACCAAGGCCACGATACTGGACGTGATGCCCAGTGTAGCAACCGTCACACACAGAACTGCAAATGATTCGCTGAAGCCCATCCTGCTACAAAGATCACTGCAGTCCCAACAGCACAGAACTACACTGTAGTGTGCGTATGCCTGAAACAAGAACAGAAAATCTGCACAGATATTAGGTTGGAGACAGACCGCGAAAAGGCTCACCACTGACAGCTTTGCAATTAAGATGTGATCCTGAATATATATTCTTGATAATGTTACTTCTAAATAATGTCTACAAACATGTTAGCAAAGATAAACATAATTCATAATATAATGCATCTTCATCATGGTGCTTTGTAGTGTGATGTAATTCAATAATATATCTGTTTGCCAATCTACTTTATCTATTAGCAGTTTACAGGCAGTGGATACAGCCAAACTTTTTTTAAAGAGTGTACAATACTACAACTAACTGCCAAACTGCTTGCACCACATGTATTACACTCTTGGGCTTATCAGATTATTCACAAAATTATCAATCCTAAGACCAAACCGTGCTCAATCCAAAAAGAAGAGATTTCAAATGCCAGTCAAATTCTATGGATGGGTTGCTGGTGTTCACAAAAATCCTGAAAAGTTACATACATGTAACGTACATGCAGTACACAAAAGCAGAAAAGAATAGGCGGTGATGCTGCAACCAATCTGCTCCAAAAATGACACAGAGCATCAACACAGAGTAGTGTATTGACCCCTCTCATTTTGCCAACAAGTTGTATCGGCAGCCAAAGTTTGCAGAAATATTACTTTTTGGATGGTTTTCAAACTGGACATTTGTCCAATTGATTGGAAAGAGGGTTGCTTACTTACATGTATTATGTGGTGGTCTGATAAATTCTAGCTGCAAGAGAGTTTTAACACTGTTAATTATTCTTTATTTTTTTTACCAATGGCCAACTATAGTTTTAGCAGCCACTTGAAGGAAAAACACGACTGTGACCTCTGAATCTTGAGCAAGCCCTACTAATTGCTTTGTCTGCAGTGTTGTCTACACTCATACATATGTTATCTCCCAGGGTCTGACCAATGATCATGACTCAGGGCCAATATAGAGAAGATTCTAGTTTGCCATTCACTGCCCGTATGCCTTCAAAACCACGGCACTGCCAACAGTTTATTTTTAAAAATTTGAAAAATGTTTCTAAAATGTATTTAGAGGCTCTCAAATTTTCCATGCTTTGATCGAAACATCGCATGACTGCCATCAAAAATGTGTACACAAAGTTCTGAATGTTTGAGCCAACAAATTGCGAAACCTATTATTTGTGAGGATTCAGTTTGTCAATGTATGACTGAAGGGTAAATATGTACAAGTAAATAATAGTGTACATTGTAGCAAACTAAAATATATGTGCTGATGAGATATGCCGGTATGGTACAAAGAGAAAAGTAAAAAAAAAAAAATGAATAATTCATGATAAAAAGCTCTGTCATTTTTTTAAAAAATCAAACGGTAACACATAATAGATTTATCTTGGCTCGGTAAGCAGTAGGCCTAGGTCATTACACTTCTAAAGCTCCTGGTAATATATGTACTCAGACATGTACTGACTACCACAACCTTGCAAATGATTTGCATTAAAGTGGCAGACCGCCCTGAAGTGGCAACAATTGAAAGTTTGAGATGAAGTTCAAATCTGTGCCAAAGGAATCCAACCTACATGTATTATTGCCATACATTTATGAGAGTGCGTGATGAAAAAACTACATGGTACAGTTTGCTTACAGCAGACAAGGTCAATAACCTTGCTGAAAGCACTGGCCACAGTCGATGAAGTGATGGAATGCTACGCCCTGGTCCAACTTTACCTCTTTAAACTCTCAGATGGACAGGCAGACATGGGGGGGGGGAGGAAGTATGAAAGGCGGGTATGTTCCGACTTTTTTTAAAAGATGAGTCAAAGTTATCAACATTTTAGAAAATGGTACATGTACTACGGTACCATCCTTTGTAGAGGGGATGACAAGGTAGGTTTCTCTGGTGTGAAAAATGGTCAATCTTGATATAAAAAACCAATCCTAATCCTCCGCCCGGGATTTACATGTACTGTGGAGGAAGGATACAGAAGGAGTTTGAACTGCCCGGGCTATAACATCTGGCCGATTACCACTTTGTGGCATGCCTGGTATGTCCATAGCCAGAGCGCAGCGCACGCCTTCTACCCACCACCTGTTTTGCAACCATAAGCTCCCTTTGTACCCCATGATTGTCGCCGCAATTTTTCGTTGGTAATCTGCATCCCTAAAACGTTGTGTACTGCAGTATAGGAAGTTGAATATTCATGCCATCGTTGGTGCTTGGTATGATCCGACAACATCATCAAATTCAGTGTTTGCGTAGTTGCTTTTATTAGGCTGCATACCCGAAGTGTTGCCCTTATCGAATGCTTTCTTCTGGACTTCTTTTAGGAATAAATAGCCAAGCTGTTTGTAAGATTTTGTGTTTTGTTTGAATCATTTTTAGTATGGAATTTGTACAAAGGCGAATTGTATGAGATTTCACGATCACTCTCTGTGTTGAAATAGCATGTTTTGTTCTTAATGAACTAGGCTTTCCAGTAGTAGTGAACATTTTGTTGGCCAGTCTTAACCAAATTCGTTCCAAGTCTTTGACACTGATGTATATTGGACAGAGGAGACTAGAATTACAAACTTTGCATGGATAATGAAACAGTGTGTCAAAATACAAAAAGTTTATGATGGCAAAAGTAGGTCTAATATCCGAAATTTTTCTCTCTCTATTTCCTGGTCACATCGATAGTTTGTATTTAATTGCAAGCAAAAAACTACAAGTATTGCCAGGGTATTACTGGCCCCACTTGTTCAGCTACAGTAAGATGCAGGCAGCAATAAGGCATTTTTGGAATATTTTCTATTATTCGTCAGACTCGGCGGCGACCATCGTTGGACGCTTTGAAGTGCCTGAGTTACAACTCCTTCTGTGTCCTTCCTCCATGCATGTACCACTGTGCATCTGTCCATTAAGTTTGGTCAAAACAATGTATTAAGTGCACTGTGTTTGTATTCAACATGTTTAGTTGGTTGTGACTGGAATTACAACTACAACAACATACATATATCATGAAATCATGAACATGTTTAATTTGCTAACTTGAATAACAATAAGGAGTGCTTTTGTCATTTGCTTGATAATCACCAAAAAGCTACTTTTACTATCTATCAATGAATTAGGCCTAATCACCACCTCTTAGTCTTACAGCACAAAAGTGGGTGCAATCAGAGCAGTGTGCCCCTTTAAATGAGTAGTTTTCACGAATACTGTCAGCCTTGAGTTGAAGTCTAACTTCAGTGTTTACAAACAGATGACAGCAGGCCTGATGACCTTACGATTTCCATATTAAAGTGTGCACACAAATTTGTGATGATTTAAGTTATCACTCTTGTCCAAGTGCTAACATCCGATTTGTTAGAAATGTTTGTATCAACCGAGGTCGTGGTTCTCAATTTCGATTATGTGTAGGCATGGTAGGTACATACACGTATGTTATGGAAAGAACGCTGAATAATAGATCATTTACTTTTGAGGACCACGTCCACATGTTAAAAGTGGCAATTCGTAAGGTTTCTTACATACATCGCTACATATATTATGTAAGGACTAGGGGTTGGAAATGGCATTGACAATTTCACCCAACCCAATGAGAAGGGAGATAAGGTAGTGCATGACATGTCATTAGGAAACACACGCATACAGTGCATCTGTGCTCTGTTTCGACTGTCCAAAAAGGGCCATGTTACTGCTTTTTCATACATGTACATGTAGCTCCATGGTAGGCCTACAGCCCTACATGCACGTTAGTCCAGTCCGACTAACTTGGACTCTACGAAATTGTTGAGTCCAAGTTACTCGGATGAGGCTTCAATATGCCATAACGTTACATGATAATCCAGCATGACTTGAGTGTTAGGCCTGAAGGCTTTCCACGATTTTCTGCGCACCCTAACACATTTCAAAACAAGTCTTCAAATAGGCCTAGCTAAAGAGCCTAACTACATCATTAACAAGCAGGCCCATGTCTAGTTGAATTTTGAAAGTAATTTTATTTTTTTTAACAACTTACAATCAATTCACAAGGCAAATTCACTTCCTTTTTTAATACCCAGGGACTGGGACCTTTGAGGTTCTGTCACGGTCGACCTTCTGCCACATGTACTGTCCCGTTTGTGTGTAAAACCGAAACGTAAACAGCAGTAGGCCTACATAGTACATGTAGTTCATGCATAGTCACAGGTACAGAGCTGCTGGCCCTGCGCTTTTGAAATGTACGGTGGCCACGACGTACTACACTAGATACATTTATTGAAAGGGCAAGTCCTGGTGTTTGACATTGAACCAACAAGTATTCTTTGAATTTTCCGAGCAAGATACAGCTCTGTACTTCAAACTAATTTCCAAGTACTCTTTACCAGATCATTTTCATATTTTTAAATCAAAAAAGCAGGCAATGAATTCAAATAAAACTAGTATTTTTACCTTTTACAACATGAAGTTCCTCGGTCTGTCAGTATTTCACTTTCTCGCATAATAAATTGCAAGTACAGTCCTGTAACCTCCAACGAGTGGTCACGTGTACTTCTCGTCAGTATGACGGTTCTAGTTGGGCCTAATCTCTAGCAAAAATACGTTAATGATGCGCCAGCTTTAAACTTTCAGCTGTTTCAGTTCGATTCAGTGAACATTAAGCAAACATCTTAACATTAGTAATAACATGATAACTCTACTCTTAATAAGGTAAAATTACCAAAAAAAATAATAATAATTAAAACAACAACCAAAAAAAAAAAAAAAACACTCTAGAATTTGATTCTGAGAATCCCGAAGACTAAAGTCACTCTTGGGATCTTCCCTTTAGTACGGTTTTCTTAAAACTAAACAAGCGGTTAGCTTCACAAGAAAGTGATGAAAAATGTCATTTGCTTCATTAGCTCGTTTACAAAAGTGACGAAACACAAGTGATAAATATCTTATCTTAGAAAAATGTTCTCTTCTCAAAACCAAAAAAAAGTTAGAACACCAAACTCACGGCTTAAAATAACATGCTCTCTACGGTGGAAGCATCGCGGTCAGCTACGATGGAGGCGACCACCTCTTCCCCACCGATGAGCTTCCGGTGCCCTCTGCTCTGTTGTCTCTGTTGTAATGCGTCCCCGGTGAGTCGGCAGAGGTGAATTATCTCCTATTCGTGATGAAGTTAGTTCTTTTTGAGGGAAGCGACTTTAGTCGGTTACAGTACATGATCAAGGTGCACAGATGAGGCAAAGACACATACAAATTGGCGTTACAATTCAACGACCACATCTGTCCGCGGTTTACATATTCGTCCCTTTGGTCTTGGTTGGCAAGTGTCTGGGTTTGGAGTCACCAGGGCATCAGATGTTTGGTGCGCCTCCTGTTCAGAAGGTTCGTCGCTTGGGGCGATGGTTCGATGTGTAACGGTTCATTTCCAGGGTGTCAGCTCCTCCACTTTCCTCCTCATTCTCCATCGGATTCGATTCCGATGAACCTGGTACTTGTCGAGCGTACTCTCTGAATGACTGTCTCTGTCCAGCTATGACCGGTCAACAGCTCGATCCTTCGTACCACTTGGGCAAATATACGTGAATACATGTACCACTCTGGGGTTATATCTGATTCTCCACTAAACCCAGGCCACCACGTCAGTGAACATTTTCGTGATTAGGTAAGGGCCGTCCCATGGCTGTAGCTTTGCAGACAGACTTACTTTTCTGCTAACAACGCGAACTATTACTGCGTCGCCTCTGTTGCATGCACGTACCTGGGTGTGCTCCGAGGTGATGATGGAGGCCTTGGTATTGCTGACTTCTTCAAGCAATTTCTGGCAATGTGATGGAGTGCTCCATTTTTTCCTCTTCAGAGCATCATTCTGTTTGGACTTTCGTGAAGTGACCCTCTGTTCGCCATCATATCAGTAGATAAGTATCGGTCAAAATCATTTCTACCGTGTACGTTTCTAACACTGTCTTCAAAGTTCTCTCAAATTTTTCAACCTACCCGTCGCATCTTTGGGTGGCAGAGTGTGGTCCTTGTCTTGTCTATTTCCAATAAGCTACACATTCCCAGGACAGGGTACATGTATTCTGAAATGGTAGCCCTTGGTTGCTGAGGAGCTGAGATGACGAACCAAATCTACACACAAATTCATCAACGAACACTCAGCCGAAGGTTTTTGCATCGATAGAAGGAATGGCATAAGCTTCAGCCCACTTGCCGTTCTCTGGGACTGCTCCTGCTATATCTATACCGACCCTCTCCACGGGTACACCCGAGATTTGGGGCTTCACTCTTGCATGACGGTTCGACATCTTCTGTTGGGCGTATGCCCAACACCGTAGACACCAGTCTGCTACAGTTTCCCGCATTTTATACCAATATAAGCGACTCCTTACCTTTTCGTACATCTTAGGATCTCCGGTTGCAAATGTGATGGAACAACTAGCAAGAAAAGTACTGCCTTACCCTTGTCGTCCTCCCATTTCTTGTGCATTACCCCGTCCCTGATGTGTAACTGGTTCCAGGCTCCCAGATTCCAACCAGTAACTTTACACAGTGTCTCGTCTGCTAGCTGCTTCTCTCCAGCATTCACGAATCTCTTCACCCAGTTGGTCTTCACTTCCTGTGCTAGCTAGACGACACATTTCGTCTTGGAAAGGTTTTGGGGTTTGCCAGCAAAACCTTTCATATCTCCTTGTTAGTTCTATTCTACGGTAGAACGTGCCATGGTTAGGTCTGGTGAGGACTTTCCTCTGAATCTAATGGTTCTGGGCTAGTGCAGTGCTTGTTCAGATTCTTGACACAGCATCTACATTACTATGACGCCTAGAAGTTGGATCCACCTTGCAACCTGACCAACTGGTTCCTTGAATAAAAAAGGGGTTTCAGTGCCCGATGATCCGTTTGGACACAAAACTTCTGCCCATATATGTAATAGCGGTAATAGGTTCGGACACCGGTTTGATGACACTCTTTTAAGCATTGAACTAATATATGCTTTCGCTATAGCTCTCTGATAAATAGGAAGTCGTGGAGCAGGTTGTTTGCTGATCGAAACCTCGTCCAATCTGTCGGCCCAAGTTTCCTTCATTTGAGGCAAACTGTGCCTGGTACTCGACCGGCAATTCTTGAAACTGATCGGCCTCTTTCTCATCGAGATAGTTCAGATTTCTCGTGTACAATTCTAAAAAACGATGTTAGATTACACCTGTCTTTTCCTGCCTCTCGGTTGGATGGCTCACCCATTTAATTGTTTCCTGTTTAATTATTTCCATGCAAAGTTTGATGCCACGCAATAACGGAATTTTACTCAAGGTACGATTGGGGAGCGTCTTGTCGCGCACCCGCAAGGACCATGTACAAGAAGTACTAGCGCCGCCATTTTGAAACTGGTGGTGATGTCATTGAAACTGCCAAGAAAGGGGCGGCATTGAGGAGGAAGATACTCACTGAACCCTACCTGAAACCTTTTGATCCTATGGACCATCTCAGTTTACATGTGGGGTGATAGGCCTCCCCATCTTCTAGAACTGGAAGGCACTTGATGGTACCTACTATAACCAAACCTCTGCCTTTAATACCTCCCTTTGATAATTGTCATTAGTCTCAGTGACTGGTGTTTTTAACCAGAAAATGATACACACAGAGCAACCATGCACCATTGGTGTAATAAGCAATTAATATTTTATCGAGATCATTTATCAATCATCAATAAATGTTTAAAGTGCCACACTTGGAATGCATATCAGAAATCCTTTTTCCCCCTCTTACTTGATATTCCCAAACTGTGACACATTCAATGTCCATCTTGGCTAGCTTGAAGAGTTCTCAGCTCAGCACGTTATACTTGTATTAATTAAAAGAATTATGAGAAGTTTGCACTATTATTCTAGTGAATAATGAGCTTGTAAAGAAGACTTTGTGCAGCAAATACTATCTGGATTATACTCATGCAGCAACTTTAGTACATAACTGATGGTCTGTTGTACTGAAGTGAGTGAGAAGATTGGAAAGTCCCATTCTGTAGTAAAAAAAAAACACAAACTAGCAACAGTTGGATATTTCAATACACATCTTGAACTTCTTGCAATATTTCATTCCACAAAATAAAAGAAACTGTCAAGAGTGCATTGTTATCAGTATGTATGTCCAAGTAATGTACTTTTGAAGTGTTATCTTGACAGTAAGTGACTAGCAATATAATATTTATATGTCCCTAAGGATGGAGCATGATGCAGGCTTAATGACCAATCTTGATTATAAAAGCTACTAAAACTGACTGATGAGTGCTTCAAGCTAAACAAGGCTGATGTCAAATTCGACAAAATTTTCAGGCTCAAAAATGGTCACACTGCTTTGCAGCAAACTGAAATCAAAAACTGATTTTACAGGTTTCCAAATGAAGAAAAATCTTAAAAGGTGCCAATGATGTATGGCCATATTAGTGATCTGCTTCTAGAAACAGTTCTATCCTCTGTGAAGTTGAATACACGTAATCACTTCCACACTGACTACTGCAGTATGGTTCACTGAACACAATATCGTGCAGTCACATTCAAGGAAATACTCTCTTGGACCATTTTAATGACTTTTAACAGCGAGCAAGGAACTGTTTTGCTTTTCTGGTGGGGAAATAAGACATAATGACCATGCATTAAGAGATGCGCCATGCAGAATTTTAAAGAAAGATTGTGAAATTGTTGAGAAATGTTAAATTTGTTTTTTAAAACTTGCAAAACATTATTTACGATGTTTCTAGACTCTGAGTGGAATACATTGTCTTGAACAACAAAGAAACTTCTAACAGTCTGTCAAGTGCACTTTGTTTGGTTATGTTGCAATTACATTCAGTTAAAAGCAAAAATTAGAAGTTGGTGTATCTTCCTTAACCGCTATATTCCAATTGCAGTGTTTTAAGTTGAAAACAAAAATTTATTTTGTGACATCTTGAATGCTCTGATAGCGAGCTGTACTTAAAACCTTTTATTTCAGCTTCACTGAGTTACAGTGCAGAAAAAACTACAAAAATGAGATGCTGTGAACCTTTTTTTTCCCAGAAAATGTTACATTCACATGGGTGAATCACACTCAGGTCTATTTGCTTGGATATTCAAGTATCTTACCATTTCTTACCATGCAAATGGTGTTATTTCAAGTCTGAGAAGATGAATTTCAAAACAGTTAGCTCTCTTGTCTTTAACGCCAATACTATTCACGAAACTACAATGCAATGGTTGCGGAATACAAAGATCTCCCCCCCCCCAACTCTCTCGTGTCAAATATCACAGGGAACCATAACCCCGTCTACAGCTGTGATTTGGTCTGGAGCCAGGCCTGGATGCTTGAGGCATCCCGGTCCAGCCATCGGGCACTCAGGCGGATGTTCTCCACTGACTGCTTGATCGTCCGCTCGGCTGACGGAGCCTCGTGTGCCTTGAAGAATGCCTCCACCTCCTGGGCCTTCTCCTCCGAGGCAAAGCCTTCGGTACAGTACTGTTGACAATAGAGAGTTTCCAGAAGTCCTTAATTTTCTCTGAAGATGCATCTTTTCTTTATTTCTTGATATGGTTTCCTTGTGGGACTACTAAAACAGTTTTTTCAGTGTATAGAAGGGGTGTGGTAGAAACAGCATTAATCAGGGGTGTGAGGGGCCACTTAAAATTAAAGCTGAAAACAGCGAGCAAAAAGTTGAAACGTAAGAAGTCCCCATACGTTTGTACACAGCAGGTGCACAAAAAGCTGAAATTGAGGGTCCACTTCTAAACAAAAGCTGAAGTTTCACAACTCTGAAAGGGGAAGGGGCAAAATAAAAGCAAAACCCTATCTATGCCCAAGCATACAAACAAGCCTACTTTCTCTTGTTTAAAAGACAATGTGTCTTCTAAGCTTTTAAATAACAGGTTGAGAGGAAAAAAGAGGAAAAAAGAACAAAAACAGACAAGGTATCTCCTAATATTTGGGGGCTGTCTTATATAAACTGGACAGCAGAAGAAACTTGTCACTTCTGTCAAAGGCCACACATAAAAATTCACTCCATAGAAATAAACAATTTTTGTACACAGGTATATGTATGCTGCAATACCCCTTACTAATCACATGCCCAAAACCAAGTGATTATCTTTATAACAAAGAAGAAATTGACATGCACAGCAACTTGGTTACTGAATCAAGTCACAGAATGTAACAGAATGAGTCGTAAGTTTCACACAGAAATCAATGTCACAGGACGAAATACAGAAGTCACAATCATTACTTTTCAATAATGTGTATGCATAGTCAGTCAGAATGGCATCCCTATAAAGAAACCATTCATGCACATCATTTTGACAAAACAGGCATTCACTTTGTCATTGGTTGTTTGAAATGTTGTCCATTCATGGGTCATTTTTGCTTGGTGGAGAGCGCTTTTTTGTGTGACTTTTGGGCACATGCATGTGTATTTCCAGCTGGAGAAAAGTCTACGTACACATGTGACTGCATTTTTAAATTGTAAAACAAGGCTATGCTTGTGGCATGAATACGGTGTAGCACGATCGGTGAGACATGCTTCGATTTTCTGCTGTATTGTGCATGTAATGTGGAAATAAAATGTTTCGATATTAGAAACATAGCGGATTTACTCTTTGTCACCTTTTGTGGAATGTCTACCGTCGTATGGTAGCAGATCAATGACTTTGTAGGCATATTGTCTTTGTGTAAGTTGCCTTTTCATTGAAGTTGGATAAAATCAGTCAGTCCGGTTGGATCCAACTAATCTGAGGTTTACTGTATTTCAGATTACATGTAGTTGCAGTGATAATTTTGTGGGCTGGTGATCTACTGACCTTGACGTAGACTTCAATCTATAATGAGTATACCAGAGTTCGTAACAAGTCACTGCGGATTTACCTGCACCAGCCGCGACAGCAAGAACCCCCCAGAATAGCGGGTTACTAGCTCCTCCCATTTCTGCTGCAGGAACGTCCATGCCAGCTGCTGGCCTTCCTTGGTACCCGTCAGTCCACCGATCACAAAGATGGTGTCCTGGGAACGCACCTCCTCCTTCACATGTTGAAAACAAAATGAAACGGTATTCATTTAGAGTATACTTCGATTAAACACAAAAGTGGTTACTGCTTGTCCCTTGTTGGAATGCTGTGAATCAAACTGGGCATACGGACTTACCGAGAGGGAGAAATCCAAGACTTTCTGCATTAGCTGGGGGTCCTTGATGGATCCCAGAGTCCTCAGGATTCGATCCTTCTCCTCCTGGAGATCTTGGGCCCTGAAAAGCTGTAAGGAGAATGCAGCCAGCCATGTTAAAAGAGACTGGAGATGGTACATGAAACTCTCAGCTGCATGCACTACGCATTTTGAGAAACTGGACGATGAAGAGTGATCTGAGGAGATGACAATCTGTAAAGGCAAGTCACACCTGCTTTTAGTTCTGGTTGCTGCATTGGTCAATTATGTGCATGCCATAAACACCCTTCCATAGCAATTGTCAATTGATTCCCATTAGCATTTCATTGTAGGAGTTACTGTTCAGCGCTCTCATAGCTGTATGAGATTTTTCAAACATTTTTTATTTTTTTTATTTCTGTGCCGACGGTCAGGCATTGTCTGTTAAACACTGGCTAGCAAAAATAACGCTGGTTCAAAATGAAATCACAAATACAGTACAAGCTCGTGCTGGTTTATGTAATGGTTCTTGGGCTGACTGCGTAAGTGTATATATCTAAGTTATGGTGTACATTTGGCAGGCCAGCGTTCTTTGGTTGCCTGTGAAAAATAGGCTTACTGTCAGCACAAACTGCTTGAGATTTGCGGCAAGCACTTGCTTGACACTGATCAATTCTAAGAACCAGGTTCCCCTGATTCAAACCTCCAATAGGGCCAAGGTTCACAGACTCTGCTGATACCAAAGCAAAGAATAACTGCAGAGTGCCACAGGAGCCTATTTCAAAGGGCAACCAAAGAATGCTGGCCCTCTCAAATGCACACCGATTTATGCGCTTATGCAGTCAGTGCAGAATTTCAGAGCAAGCACAGACAGGTGATCATAAATACAGGATTCAACTATTTGCAGAACCAAGAAATTGGTGCAACTCAGCAGTTGTAATCAAGTCACCACCAGTCAGTCGCTAGTTAATCAGTCTCAAGTTACGAACCATTCAAATAACCTGAGACTTTTATAGCATCCCTCTTCAATGTTTGTTACCTACTACCCATGACTGTGGTATTAACTGTGACTGCATAGATCTAGGCCTGTGCTGGGTTCCCGGGTACCCAGGTACCCGCCCGTCGATATCAAAACAAGTTCCATTTTTCCGGGCCAGGTACCCATAAAAAAAACAGGAAATAAATTGGGAACAAACATCCATGTATATAATGTCTGTGAAATTTCATACTAAAGGGCAGACTTCCTGAAATATCACCATGCTGCTGAAAACCTGGTCCCGCGGTCATACATGAAACTTCAGTTTGGAGATCGACAGCTACTTTTGTAATCCACTCCGCCTGTTGTACTGCAGTCGTTTTCCTACTAAATTCTAGTTTTTTCCCAGTTCACAAGAGCAAAAAAACACTAAAATTCACGGCCGATAGGTCACTTATTACATGTGATTTCAAATACTTTTTAGATTGAACAGTCGTATAAACCTTTACATCTAATGTCTGCTTAATCAAAATGGCTTTTTGAGTTTCTGTTTTTTTGTTAATTGACCGAAAACTGAAAGCTTTTCCCTCTACTTTCGGATCGCGCAGAGTTACCAAGTAAATTCGTTGCGAACTCAACAAGGCACAGCAGAAATGTATGTGAAGTAATAGGTTTGTCAACTGTGTGGCGCAGGGAGCGTACTGTTGATAGCTCGCTGTACAGTTGAAAATTCGAGTCAAACTTGACACAATGTCTACTTTTTAATTCATTGGAATTCTTATTTTTCATCTAATTTTCTCAAAATTAGGAAATTCTTTATTAGAAAGGCAACTTTTTAGAATGGTTCTGGCTGAAATGGATTTTTGGCATGGTTACGTTTTATTCGTGAAGACCTTTTTGTCTCAATCCTAAACTGATCCAGAACTAAGAAAGGTGTCGTTGTCACTTTCGTTAATCAATCCTTTGAGTCCAAATATAAAAGCTTAGATTTTGAAAAAAAAATGAGGTATCTCCAAAACACACGGTTGACTTCTGACCATATTTCACTCAAATTTGAAGATTTTGTAGCTGCAATCTTACTGAATAATTTTCGAGATCCAGAACTAGGAAAATGACTGTACCAAACCTATGAACAAGAGACCAAAGTATTTTGTCTTCTGAGGTGGAAGTGCTGTTGATGAAAACTTGCCTGACTGTATTTGTAACTGTCAAACCCTGTCAGCCTAAATACTTTTTGTGTGGAAGTGGTAGTGCTTACTGTTTGAGTTAAGAGTATTTCTGTCAAATAAAACAATATGAGTGAGAGTGGACTGTGTAATATACCAGCCGCACTGAAACTCCACACGGCGTGTGGTAGGTAGTGATCACGCACAAATTGTGCAGTTGATTGGCCTCTTATTATCAGCTGGTTACCAAAGTACCAAATGTGCTCTATAAACCCAAAGAGTCAGAGAACCAGGTTAGTTTTTGATACCAGAAATAAGCCGTAGTCGTCATTCAAACTTCAGTTTCAAAATTACTTTAAATTAAAGCAATATGAATTTCCTCAATGATTCAGCGGAACTGTGGATGAGGAATTGAACAAAAAAGCAGGAGGGATGTTTTCTGTATGTACAAAAGCATTTCAAATCAAAGTATATTTTAATTCGAAAAAAGGCAAATGTTGACAGATGCAGGTCATAATACAGTCAGGCAGTCAAATATCACTTGTCAAGGTAGTTATACGTTAAACTCTTAACAACTCGAAGCTCAGGGGAATGGAGTATCCTAAAAATTATCTATCAATCTAAACCACTTTATTGCAGGACCTTCGTGTGGCAAAACTTTTCATATCGCTTAGTCTTGTTTACAAGGTGAAGTGCTGCACAAAGTCCTAATTTTTTTTCACCTGGGCTTCCCTATGTGTGGTCACATGACATTTCCTTTAGTGGTTACATGGCCACTGCAGTGTCAGCGATTGGACTGCCTGAAGGGGCAACGTGCATACAACTGGTCCCCATGAGAAACGAAATGCACTTGACAGTGATGACTCCTAACCCTATATAGACTTCTGATTCTTTCAACGCCGTTTGAAGCATTTTGGTGGCGGTCTTTTTAATCAGAAACTTCAAAATAAGTGCATATAATGGCGTGGGCATTGTTTGAGTTACGGAGGTATTTTTGTACATAAAAGCCGTGATGTACGTAGCACTGATCTGGTCTGCACGTGACATGACCAGCGCTCACCATTTGTGCACATGCATTCTGCGTGTATGTGTTCATGCAGCATCCGGGATATTTCCTTTGAGTGGTTGCTGGTGTGAAGGTGGTTTGCAGCTCTGTCCTCTGTTCTGAAGTTCCCACAAAAAGACATTTTGCAAACTTAAGGTAATAATTTCGTTTGACAAACAGGTAGGAGAGATTAACTCTGACGTTTAGAACAATATGCTGCTTGCTTCCTATGTACAAACAAGAGCCCTGTTTCAGGCACATGGTCCACTGGGGTCGCAAGCAATGCCATCTGTTATTATTAAAGTGATCTCTTTTCCGGGTACCTGATGTCGACAAAAAATGGGTGCCCGGTTCCAAAAATACCCGGATATGCACACCCCTAGATAGATCACAACCGATTCCGTCCGCTTTTAAGCCCCCAATCTTTGAAGGTACCTTCAGAATTTCGTCAAATGAGCTCTGGTCACCGTGGGTTAACACAGTGAGGTACACTGGGGCTCGCAGGTCTGCCGGTATCTGTTCCCCGCCCGAGCAGTGATTCTTGAAACGCTTATTGGCCTCTTCGATGGCGTGGACGTGACCGTTGCGACCCATTACTCGGATGGTCAGGCTCCGCAGCATGGAGTCAAGATGCCCTTCAAGGTGAGAAAAGTCGGGAAAAGGTTAACGAAAGATAATTGTGGAAGGGCATCTGAATGTGCACAAACAACTACACTTTTCACAGTCAAGTTCTATCGTTCTGTAGCAGTTTTGTTCACGAACTGTATATGAATTGTAGTATGGACTGCAATTGATCATTCTAAAAAAATGAAGTTAAAAAACTCTGAAATAAAATTAATTGGTTGTCTTGTCATTAAAAATCCATGTATTACATTACGGCCACCACTACCAGACTAAATCCCAGGCCAGTTTTTGCAGTGACATATGAAACTACTGTGATGTTGGTTTGTGCTCACAACATTGTGCATACACTTCGTTTTAATGTGCACAAACTACAAATGAAAATGACAGCTTATCTTGGGATTTGAAAAGAATTTCATCAACAGAAATTACAGCATGAGCGGTGAGTAAAACTACACATCCATGCTAACTCTTGTTCCTGAATTGTTCAAATGGGCTCTTTTCCCATGCATTCACAAGAGTGTTCTTAAAAATTTGGCACACTCACTATGTTAAAATACCTGCCGGGATTAAATACACTTCAGGATGGCACAGCTACTTTAAGTATTCAGTACTTAGATGTCACATAGTTTTCCGGTTGCTCTCATCCAATCAGAAGATGGGATATCCATCTGAGGTTTTTAAGTCTTTAGCTAAAGATGGATGGCCAATATATCACACTACCTCATTTGAATCGTTTGGTTGCATGGAAGAAAGACACTGGTTGTATTAATGGCAGAGAGACAGACATTACCTTCATCCTCCTTGGGTGTCCATCCCAACTTCTCATAGATGTTCTCGAACAGGGTCTTGGTGAATTGTTTCAGCAGATGGCCAAAGTCGGTGTGGGTCAGCAGCTTGGATAGGGTGCCCAGATTTGTGGCCAGCTCTGTCCAAACCGTGTAGTTGGTCTCGTTGGAGAATGCCTCCATGACCTTCAAGACGTCCACAGTTTTGGCCTGGCCTGCCTTGGCCTAACATCAAGGACAGCAGGTCAAGATATTGTAGCAGTTTTACGTGCGAACAATTACACATCCAGGAACAATTTTGAGGCCGGCTGGAGGGTTGGCCAAATTACTCGACTGGGACTTGACATTACAAATAGCTCCATGGGGACTAGCAGTAGCCATGGCCACAGACTCTACGTAACTTCTAGCCACAGTAATTTGGGCAAGGCCTCACATTTAAATAACTTTGAGATACACTTTCAACTGCTTCAATACAACACTTCCTCCCCTATTCCCAACAAAAAAAGATGAAGGATTCTCTACCTCTGAAATTCAACTCTGCAGAAAGGACAAATGCTCAGAATTGCCATAAGAGAAACATGCAAGCAAGGACAATAGAAATGTGACGAACAAACTGCAGCAAATACCAATGCAAACAAGTCACTCTCCAGGCCCAGTCTGTCACGGGGAGGCATGGACCCATCCTTGATTCCTGGCAGCAAGGCGTCCAGCATCTCACTGGAGTAGTGCACACGGTAGAACCCAACAGTTCCAGGGTTTAACTGCAGTCAAAACACACAATACAACGTTGAAAAATCAAACAAATTGCAGTAATAGAAAAAAAGTCAACCATACGAAACTGTGACATGGAATTACTCATGTATGGATCCTTTGCACTTGGCTTCACATTTCCCATAATCCTTTGCTGTCGACCATCCCCGATGCCAAGCACTAACCAGAACTACATGTATGTCTCAGGCTATAGGCCATTCATACCTTACAGTTAGAAGCTACAGCCAGAGGCAACTATGCCGATTTTAAACACAGCCTGACATCAAAGATGGAGGCTTAACAACGTTTGTTGAGCTTCCATCACATGAAACAAGACCATCTGCTGTATGGCACACCTTGTACACAAAATGACTTTGCTGCTCGGATTCTGATCTGAAATGGTTATCTTCTTATTCACAACTAACCAGATTGAAATTGGTTTCGCCTTACCTTGACCCACTGGCCTGGTTGAACATTCTCCAGGGTGACAGTCATGCTGGGTTTGTCTAGAAGGACGGTCAGTGCGGGCTTGATGGGATCGGCACTGGTGGCGATGTTGACCGGAACCTTCCACTTTGGGCTTTCACCTTGAAATACCCCAAACCAGGAGTGATACACTTTGTGCTATCTATTATACACCTTCGCTTTGCTTACACTGGCCGTTATTTTTGCTTGGGAAGCCAATGCTCGTGGATGGTTTACCGTTGGTCGGCAGCAGCCTTTGCCTCAAAAAACACATCTGCTCAGATGAGTGTTCACAAGGAGGTATCTTCACTTTAGCATTTAATTGTAGCCTTCACGATTCAGAGCTCTAATAGCTGTATGAGACTTAGCAGCTTTTTGTGATTTCTGCTTTTATAGTATTTATTACATAGAACTCTAGTAGCTGCTTGAAAATTTGCAAACATTTTTAGATGTTTTCGTTTCTGTACTGACAGTCAGGCATTGTCTGTGAACCACTGGCTGGCAAAAACATCAAAGAAAGGTCTATCACTCATGCTCATATGCTACTCATACAGTTTCAAAGGGGTGCACGGCCTTGCTGATGAGGGTGTTGCTTAGAAACTCACATGGAAGGTCTAAACAATTTGCAAGCACCTAGTTCTGTGTCATACATGGAAGATAAGTTAAAATTCCCAATCTCTGCGTACATCTTTCACTTGCATCTTTTGCAAGACAGAAATGCATGAATGACAAAGGTACCGAAAAATATCCTTATTTTACAACTGAGGACAAGTACATGTCCTAACAAGCACTAAGCTCAATCCAGTAAGATTTGAAGTTATTAAGTCTTCACCTACGGGTGTGAGGTTAAAGCCCGTGACATGAACTGTCCATGATAGATGCACAGGTTTCATCAAGTCCATACCTTCCATTGGCCCATCTGCACAGAATTTGGTCTGTGTGATGGTCAGCACCCTGGATGCACCCTTCTGCTCTGATGATACCTCCAGCATGGGGAACCCCATCTGGAGAGTCCAGGTACTCATCATCTCCTTGATGCATTTCCCACTGGCCTCCCCCAGCACTTCCCACAGGTCTTCTGTGAAGGTGTTGGCGTACTTGAAGCGTGTCAGGTACACGTTCATTCCTTTTCTGAAAGCCTAGAGAGATACATAGTGAGGTTGTTTGCTTTATGAAGGAGGCAAAGATCTGGGATGATGGGTCAATCCAAGATAAAAAGGAAAAAATAACAAAGCAAGAACATTTTTTTCACGATTATCAAGGCTAGCGGCTTTCTTGAAACAGCTTAAGATAACTTTAATTGCATTGATGCGAATGCTATCCATTTCTGTCAAGCTTATCCCCTGAATGTTGTAAAATTCAAGGAAGTGGTCTGTTTGCTTATTTTGACACTATATAGAATCAAATAATGGGCAGTTTCGGAATACAGAAAATGCGCGTACATATCATGTATCTGTATTTTTTTCAAGTGATGATGTCATCACTTGAGGCTGTCTTGTCATACGTAATGCAGAGAAGACTCTTGGGCGATGACATATGGAAGCAATTTAGTACGCAACAGGTACATATGAAGTTTGGGTATTCCTATAAAACAAAAATTTCTTACTTGAACAACACTTGATGTATCGTATGTTTGGAAAGCAATGCCTCTGGGGGTGAATAAATTTTGTTTTTGAAGAAAAAAAGTGTCGCCAATGTTGCTACGTTGCTGCGTGCATCATCACGGGCGTGTGAGTAATGACCGATCTAAAGTTTTACAACCATATACGTACCTGTGTACGTGTTGTGCCATGCAGATGAGCATACAGACACAAACTAATGAACTCGGATGCCAAAACTGTCTAATACTGGCAGCTGGCTTCGGAAATGCATGTATTTTGGTGAACAGTGAAACAATTATTCACAGTAGGAACGTGCACCTCCATTCCATCAATGAATTCCTCATTTTGACAAATTCTGACAAGGCTTGAGGGTGAGTAATCCTGGAACTTACCTCATCCCCAATGTAATTGTGCAGCATCCGGATGATGGAACTGCCCTTGGAGTACGAGATCAGATCAAAGATCTCATCGACCTCATCTGGATGACCAACAGGCACCTGCGCAGTTACAGAACAGAACACAACATGCAAGGGAGTACATCACAGGGGGTAGGGGTGGGGCAGTGTTGGGGGGATTTGGGATGTATACAGTAAACTTTTGATAACTCAGTCTGTTAACTTGAAACTCCGCTTCTCTCCAAGACATGCTTACTTCCTGCCAAAGGAATCGGCTTTTATGTACAAAACACCTCCATAACTCGATACGACCACCTCTCTACATCTGCTTAACTCAAAGTTTTTTAAGGGCCGATCCAAAAGGACCGCTGCCAAATTACTGACAATGAGTGGAAAAACAATGTGGAGATCTTAATTATGAGTCATTTCTGCAAACCGCACCACGTCTTTTTGTGTGAGGACATGAGTGTGCTTACTGCCAGTGCCTTTGTAATCAACTCCTCATGACCACCACCTCTACAAATCCCGGCTGTCAAGCAGGCCCAATTGCCATCGTAGCCCAAATGTAGCCCACACGCACGTGGCCCAATACTTGATTCTTTACGGTGGCCATGTCACAACACTGAAGGAAGCTTTGTGCATGCCGTGGCTAAAGCCTGGCTGCCGCCGCCTGCCCAATTGCAGCACTTGTGCACTACTCACATGCTGACTGACATACGCGGTGCTGGAAATGTTGTTTTGCGTCGCCAAAGCTTAAGTTTGGTCAAATTTTTTTTACAAAGGAAAGGGAATGAAAAGACAAACAAAAACACAAAAACATTTTTAAATTTTTTGTTAATGCTCTGGAAAATGCAAAATGGTGTGCCCTCGAGCAAGTTAAAAGAAAGCATCATATGGCCAAACAGGAAAACCCCGGGCCTGGCTGGCTCCGGCCAAGTGAGCGCGGCGCAGCGCGGTGTGTGCCAAACAGAAGAATTGTCACAAAATGTAAACAGTTTTGGTGGTATACATGCATGTTTTAGTTGTCAGTAGAGTAGAAAATTTTTTGTAAGAAAAACATGAAACCTCAGAAAAGTAATGCTTTTAGAATAAATTTATTCTTAGAGATAAGGAAATAACCACTTATAACATCTCCAATAGCCACTGCGGGGACAAGTAGGGTTACTTGTGCACTGTAAGTGTATATGTTGGCAAGACTCGGGAACTTTTGTTGTAACAGCTCAAAATCTAGATAACTCCAATTTTTTATTCATTCTCATGAGGTTCAAGTTATTGAGAGTTTATTGTATTCCTCAAACTTGTTGGAGGAATCTATATCCTGAATCTAATATCCCCCCTGAAAAGGTGGCTGTTCTGAGGGAAGTACAACACTGTACCTCAATAGGGTGGCTGCTCTTCAACGCATCCAGTCCCAGAGCCCGGGTGTAATCGGTCGTTATGAACTGCGTCCAGATGTCGTACTCGGGGAAGCAATGGTCGACGCACAGGTACTCGATCCAGGAGGCAAAGCCCTCGTTCAGCCAGAGATGGGTCCACCATTCCATGGTGACGAGGTTGCCAAACCACTGGTGGGCGAGCTCGTGGCCTGGGTAGAGAGGCCAAAATTACCAAAGCTCCAGGGTTTTCAGAAAAGGGGGCACAAATTGGGAGGGTCAAATGCAAGTGTGCAGTGTGAAGCCCTTAGACACAATGCACATGCAATGGAGCCAATTTAAAAATCATTGTCTACAGGGGATGGGGAGTAGGTGTGTGTCCAGTAAAAATATTTACCCACAAACGATATTAACTTACCCACAACCAAGGCAACCCACTGTTTAGCTGATGCTGATGAATTCTTTGGATCCACTAAAAGAGCAGTTTCCCTGAAAATTGATAGAATTTGTAACATAAAAAGTATGACAATTCAAATTTGACATCAGGCTTAATGCATACATTAAAAGAAAACATACAGAAACGCTACAGGTAGATTATGTTGTTCAAATTGTTGCAAAAACAGGAAAATAACTCTACACTTCCTCAAATTACTGGGAACGTGGCAATTTAAGGTGAATAATTTGAAGTAGGTTTTGTGTAAGAGGTGCGAATTATCTTTAAAGGAACAGAAAAATGATTATACCTGTAGGTAACAAGGCCCCAGTTCTCCATGGCACCAGCTGCAAAGTCTGGAATGGCGATCAGATCAATCTTGGGTAGAGGATAAGCCACGTTGAAGTAATCTTTGTAGAACGGCAGTGTCTTCACCGCAACCTGTTCATTCATGTAAAATAGAATGATATATAGAGAGGCTGCATGGTAGCCATCTTGCAGGGCAGTTCTTTTGTTCCACAGGGAAGCCTCCTTTGTGTATGGAGATGGCTTTAAGTTAGTTCATCTCTGTCTTGAGGTTTGTCTACCAATATCAAAAATGTCTGTAAACCTAAACCATTCAAAACTAAATCTGACCGGATCCAACAAAATGAGTCTTTTCTCAGGCCCTTTTTTCCCTTTGTAATTTTTTTCAGTCTGCACTAAAAAGAGAAGACTCTTTGTTTTGAGGTATCACTCACTCTGGTACCCTGACAAAAAGGTACAATGTAGTTGAAATGTGTTCTGGGTTTCCAGTGACTTACATTGTGCAAGATTATTACTCTACAGGACCTTTTCGCTCAAAAGTGGGACAGTCGACTTGTGACTCATTTTGTTAGGTTGGGTCACAAATGAAAACAGTCCCATCTTTACGTGGCACAGTCTGACGCTCCCACTTATTATTGAGCTGAAAACACCATTAGAGTCAGTGGATCAAGAATTGGATGAAGCCTGGGATGAAGACTGCTGAGATTTGATAAAACGGCCTGCTTGATACCCCACAACCTACTGGCTTCATGATCTCCAAGCCAAAAGCTCTAGTCAGAGCAATAGTTGCTGCTGTCCTCTGTATATCAGAACAATAATTTTGTAACCATTTTTTTATTGTTGCCTGGGATGGTTGAGACCGGTTCCCTCCACACTCCATTGAAAGGAATGGGAACCAGCACATAGCTTCACTCATAAGTATAGCTCAGAATGGCCAATCCGGCCTGAGTTGAAGGACACCCTCAGCGGCTGAGAAGAGACAGGCAGGTTGTATGTTTTTGAATTGGGCCCATGCAGCCACCCAGTGCCCACCCAAAGACCTAACATTCAACATAAATTAGGTGCAAGTACTCAGCAAGCCCTGTGCCAAATATGCATAAACCTTTACGCTCATGTAGTGAGTTCCCACCAAAGGACTGTCATTTTCAATGTAAAACTTATCCTTTCTTATTCTCAGTCGGAGCAGACAAGCCCTGCACAGTCTTCTTATGTGTACTGTGTGCGGTGATTAGAATGCTCCTCTAAAGAAACAGGATATGGTCTGGTACCCACCTCGAGCGCAAACTGCCCTTGCTCTTTTTTGGCTAGAGGGGTGTACACTCTGACGCAGACACCATCTAGGGACTTTCCCTCAACGTAGTCAAACTCGCCCACCACAAAGGCTAGCAGGTAGGTGGACATGACAGGGGTCTGGCCAAAGGTCACAACCTTCACGTTAGGGTTGTCCGGGCTGGGCTTGTCACTGATCACATTCTGAAAAACAAAAAAATGTAAACAGCATCAGAAAAAGAAGCCTCAAAAGTTGTCAAACAAAGCACTCCAGTAGCCTGACCTCTTCAGCTTCACTCTTGATGTTAAAAAAGAGATGTTAATTTGTCAACTGACAGACAAGAGAATGGATACAATATTGAATGTGAACACTATACCTAGAATTTTGCATATGTTGGTCTTCTTTGGCAAAATGCAAAGCGACTAAAGATGCGCGAAGTCAAACTTCTCTTGTGGTTCATTTGACAAATTTAAACATGTGTACAAGTTCTGAAAGAAATAGGAGATAAATCAGCCACAACATTTAAATAAAGTTTTTGGCTTTGATACTTTATTTCCACTCTGTAAACTACAAACATTCAATCCCTCCACAGTCTTTTCTCCAACATTACTTTGTTTTAATTTGCACTCATTTGATCTGTACACTGTGAATTCTAAAATCTCTTTAATTTCTTTGGATGGAACATACCATTTTGTCCACCAAAGGCATTGCAGACATTTTTTAGTTCCCTAAAACAGGAATTTCAATGACTTTGCAAACCCACCATGTTGGACAGTGCAACTCGATCTGTTGGCGCCACTAGGGTCACGTCAAAGGTAGCCTTGATGGCTGGCTCATCCCAACATGGAAATGCTCTCCTGGCATCGGTGGCCTTGGGACATTTTCAGATGACAGAAACACAGCAATAAATTTGAACACTTTTGACACAACTTAAAATTAGTTCAGCAAAACAGAGCTAAATTTACAATGAGTATGCAGTTCACGGGGTTCGCACAGGAATCTGAAAACCGAAGTCCAGGACTTTTCCAGGGCTATCCAAGGATCCTGATCGCCAACAAGACTAGCACAATCTTGAACCTGTAGAATGTTAAAATCCTTTCATATGGGTGCCTTAAGAAATTTGCCATGTGTGAGATATTTTGTCAATGTCCAGAGCTCCTCTAATTCCAAAGTTTTTTAACAACTGATAAAATTCACCCAAGTTATCAACCAACCTCAGGCATTTTTGAAAGTTTTCTCAAGCACGAGAAAACTTCCCGATCCTTTCAGCAGAATTTTGGGCATCAATGTGAACAGGACAATAGGCCAACTCTGTCTGACCGTAACTTTTAAATCACACTCCATCCAGTCTGCACCATTATTCGATCGAATGGCACCATACCTCAAACTGAGTCACGGCGCAGTAGCGTTCCTCTCCCTCCGGCGTGGTGTACTTACTGCGGTAGAACCCCTTCATCTTGTCGTTCAGCTCCCCGGTGAATTCGAGGAGCAGCTCCCCCTTACCGGTGTCCAGTGGGTTGGGGAATGTCAGGGTCGCTGTCTCTTGGTCCTTGCTGTAGCTGATGTCACTGGTTGAGACATCTAAATTTGACACAGAAAATTCATACAATTTAAAGACTCATTTCACTTTAACACTTTCCTCAAGATGTGTTGTCAAGATGTACTTAGCGTTGGGGAAATGTTAATTTTAATAATGGGTTTTTCCTTACCTGACGTAAGGGCAAAACCCATAATAAAAATTAACGTCTCCCCGACGTTTAGTACGTCTTGACAATAGTCAGTGGTACCCGCTGCTACAACCGACTCGGAGCGGGCAGCCAACCCTGGCAAGCTCGGTGGTCGAGTGTTTAAGACGTGTGCACTAGTAGGCTTGGGGTGTGCATTCGCGGGTATTTTTAGAACCGGGTACCCATTTTCTGTTAACATCGGGTACCTGGAAAAGAGATCGCCTAATAACAAATGGCATTGCGCGGGACCCGGTGGATCGTGTGCCCGAAACACGGTTCTATTTGGTACATAGGAAGCAAGCAGAACATTATTCTAAACGTCGGAGTTAATCTCTCCTACCTTTTTATCAAACGAAATTGTTACCTTCAGTTTGCAAATTTTTTGTTGGTGTACGAAACAAAAAAACAAATCTTCACAGGGAACGTCAGAAAAGAGAACAGAGCTGCAAACCACCTACATGACATACGCACCTGCAAACGCTCAAAGGAAATGTCCCGGATGCTGCATGACCACGTACACACGGAACGCACGTGGAGTGCACAAATGGTGAGCGGTGGTCGTGTCACGTGCGGACCCGACACATCACGGGTTAAAAGGCTTAAAGTTTTATGTACAAAAATACCACCGTAACTCGAACAATGCCCACACCATTACATCCACTTATTTTGAAGTTTCTGATTAAAAAACCACTACCAAAATGATTCAAACGGCATTGAAAGTATCGGAAGTCTACATAGGGTTAGGAGTCATCGCAAGTTCATTTCTTTTCTGACAAGGACAAGCACGTTGCATAAATCAATGTAGCTGCAACTGTGTAATCCTGGCTTTCAAGATGCTGAAACTAACCTGATTGCAACGTAGGCCCAATTATAGTCCCCTTCAGGCAGTCCAATCGCTGACACTGCAGCGGCCATGTGATCGTAAAAAGAAAGGTCATGTGACCACACATAGGGAAGCCCAAGTGAAAAAAATAGCAGCACTTCACGTTGTTAAATGACTGAGCGATACGAAAGTTTTGCCACACGAAGGTACGTACCACGATGAAGTGGTTTAGTTTAATAAATACTTGTTCAGGATAACTCCATTCCCCTGAGGTTCAGTTGTCGAGATTTTAATGTATAAGTACTTTGACAAGTGACATTTGATTGGCCGACTGTATTATGACTTGCACCTGTCAACATTTCCTTTTTTTCGAATGAAAAAATCCTTGGATTTGAAATGCTTTAGTACATACAGAAAGCATCATTCCTGCTTTTTTGGTCGATTCCTCATGCACAGTTCCGCTGAATCACTGAGGAAATTCAAGTTGCTTTAACTTAAAAATAATTTTGAAACGGAATATTTCTAGGTATCAAATTTAACTAAACTGGTTCTCTGACTCTTTGGGTTTGTAGTGCACATTTAGTGCTTTGATTATAAAAAGAGGCCGATCAACCGCGCAATTTGTGCGTGATCACTACTTACCGCACGCCGTGTGGAGTCCCAGTACCGCTGGAATATTACACAGTCCGCTCTTGCTCCGGCGTCAATCCCGACATAAAGTAATTTTCATTCATATTGTTTTATTTGACAAAAATACTCTTAATTCAAACAGTAAGCACTACTTATTCCGCACAAAAGTCATTTAGGCCGACAGGGTTTGATAGATACAAATACAGTCATACAAGTGTATATCAACAGCGCTTCCCCCTCATAAGACAAAATTCCTTCGGTCTCTTGTTCATATAGGTTTGGTACAGTCATTTTCATAGTTCCGGATCGCGAAAATTATTCAGTAAGACTGCAGCTAAAAAATCCTCAAATTCGAGTGAAATATGGTCAGAAGTCAACTTTGTATTTTGGATATACTTCTATTTTTTTTCAAAACCGAAGCTTTCATATTTGGACTCACAGGATCGATCGACGAAAGTGACGATGACACCTTTCCTAGTTCTGGATCGGTTTAGGATCGAGACAAAAACGTCTTCACAAATAAAAGTAACCATACGAAAAATCCATTTTCAGCCAAAACCATTGTAAAAAATTGCTTTTCTAATAGA